AGTAGAACTTTTTCTGACTTTTGGATTAATATGTGCATAAACATACATGTATATGCACATATTCACAGCTACGTCTTACACCTGTGCAACTGTACACCTAAAGGCCATTTTAACAAATTATCTTTATTGAGAAAACATAAAAATCACATTAAACAAGGGCAACCCAGATATGTGATAGTTGTGCATTACATTAGCATTTTTCATGTGTAGCAACTGAAATTCATTAATGAATTAGACTCCCTGCATATATGCTCTGACTAAGCAAACTTAAAAGAGAATAAAGAATTGGCATCAGAGTTCAAAGAAAAGAAGAAGACTGAGTGACATATGATATGAAGACTAGAAATCCCACAGCCTCCTTCCTAACTTCTGCCAGAAGAAAAAAAAGATTAAAAAAAAAAAACAACCAGAAGTATGGGTGGTGCCTGTGGCTCAAAGAAGTAGGGCACTGGCCCCATACACTGGAGGTGGTAGGTTCAAACCCGGCCCCGGCCAAAAACTGGAAAAAAAAAAAAAAAAAAGCCAGAAGTAGACAGAACATAGAAAGATGTAAGAGGAAACTACTTGATAGGAATGGCTACAGGAAGAAACTAAAGCTCTCTATTAACTGGGGACTATAATTTATAAAACTCCATTACTTTCATTATCTAGCAACAAACACGCACCCCACAAATCAGAATTATTCAGAGAGAACTCCAAGGGGACCTAAACCTAATATTCAAGTAGAGCAAAATCCCAACCAAAACAAAATTTAAAAGTATTTAATTAAAATTTTTTCCACATAATTTTTAATAACGTATTTTTGAGCCTCAACAAGACATCAAAGGAAGTGCTTTATTATTCAAAGATTTTTCAACAATAGTATTGAAACCAATAGTGTTCTGGTTAAACAGAAGATTCTGATCGGCTAGCATCCGCATACACAAATACACATGTGCTATAGAAATGTAGATGCATAGAGATGCAGTTGGGGTGCTTAGCCTGTCTGCTTTCACAGAGATTAGTTTGAATTCTAAAATGCAGTATTTCCATTTGAAAAGCTCTTAGATACTGGTATTAATATTTAAAAGTATTTTGAATTTCCTATCTCTGAAGACTTCTAAATGGGGTATGACTTAAGTATAATCAAACTTAAGTCAGGACAGGGATATGGTTCTACCGAGAACTCCAAGAACAGTCTGGTGAAGATGTGACATGCAAAGGTCATTCGGGGCTTTGGATCCATTTCTATCCGTTCTTGCAGTAACTCATCAGACCCCAACAGCCAAAATGCTGAAGCAGAGGGAAAGCAAGTATGCTTTCCGGAAGCCTCGGACAGTGCAGGAGATAAACTTGTACCAGCTGATGTCTTGGCCATGTGCTGCAGGCCTTGCACAAAGATCAAGGCTTTCATTCATTCCTTCTCTGCAAAGAATGAGTTTTCCAACACGGCACTACTTGAAGTGGGTTTGAGTGGCTCTGAGAATGTTGCTTTAGAGTGTAAAGTCCAATCTGCGTCAACCTTCCAGTAAGTAAAAAGAGGGCAGAAGGTGGGTGAATTCTCTGGAGCTAATAAGAAAACCTGGAAGCCACCATTAATGAATTGATCTAATCACGTTTTCTGAAAACATAATTAGCCATTGGCTATTTAAAACTTGCAATTTTTTTATTTACAGAAAGTATAAAGTATGGAGACTCAAATGCTCTCTGATTAGTAATAATAAAATATTAATTCTACACTTATAAAAAAAAATCTGACATGCAGTTAAGTGAAAGCATTCCCGTAAACCACACAGAGAAAGGTGGGGAATCTCCCACCATGTCCTTTCGAACCGTGTTCTCCATATCCCACTGAGGTTTCTTAGAATCATCATTTATCATCATTATTATCAGAACCATCCTCTATCAGCCAAATTTCAAATTCCTGCTTCTCTTTGTTTCCAGTAAACCTTGGCTACGAAGCCTTTCCTGTGTCTCCTGAACGACGTGGGCCCTCTTTGTCCTCCACTTCCACAGCACTTGGAACGCACCTCCATCATCACAGTAAAATTATTGCACTCTCAATTATTTGTTTGCATGACCAAAGTAGTTTTAATCTCCTAGAGAAAAAATATTCTATTATTTTGCCAAACTAACTTCCACCTTGTTGCAGTTCAATATATAGGGTGGCCATATTTAAAATAGTCTATTTTAAATTGCACATGAACTTTATGGCCACCCTATAATAGTACTTATTGAATGAATGAAAGATCAATCATTCATTATTACATAATACATAGTAGGAATTGAGAAAGCAAGATGGCTATTCTTTCACATTTTCCGCTACCAAGCTCCAGGTGTTACAGGTGTTACCATGGAAAGGGCTTATCGCTGCCATCGTCTTACGAAGGAGGATGTATCTCTGCTCCCATCAAATGCCAGTCACTGACCAATGTTGTTTCTGTGAACAAATGAGAACAAAGGCTACTTCTATTCCATTCCCTCTCAATTTCTCAGAGTTCGCTCCCACAGTTTCCCCTCTCCTGCATCATCAATTATCCTCTTAAACTTAATTATTCCCATCAGCTCACATGGCCCACCATTCAGTATCTTAAATTTTTAAAATATAAATAAAACAAAAATAAATCCCTCGTGCCCGCACATCATCTTGGAGCTACTTTCACACTTCTCATATCACTCTTGCAGCAAACTCCCTCACCTCATCATGGTATCTGCCTTAATTCCTGACTCCCATTCTCTCGTCATCACTGCAGTTAACCTAGTTATGCCGCAGCAGAGACCACAAGGTATATCCCATGCCCTGTAGCTTAACAGTGATGGTTTAGGGCAGGCAGTTAGTTAGACACCAGCAGGGTGATGGTGGATGCAGTCTGGCTATTTTGGACTGGCTGGGGTCAGGCTGGACTGAGCTGTTGTGGGAATGGGGGTTACCAAGACCTCGCAGGTGGGTTGTTTGGGGGAGCTGGTTGTTTGGGGGGACTGACTAACATCCCAGGGACTTTCTAACATGGACAGACAGATGTGGTCATACTAACTTGGTCTGTTTTAGGAACAGCCTGATTAGGACCCTACAGAAGGGGGTCCCAAGAAAGAACAGAGGTTGTGCCAAAGGGTCTTCAAGAACTGACCAGTCAGAAAGAGGTAGAGAAACCACAAAGAAGAGGCCTCGAGAGAGGGTCTTTGGAGCATGTGTAGAGCTGAGGTAACAGTGTCCCTAAATGAACTACCCTCATTGACATAGTAAAACTCACACCCACCAGGGCCAGGACAATGTACCAATAGCACAGCAACCCAAGGAAATTGCCTTACAGGGGTAGAAAAGGGGAGAGTTCCCAAATGCAGCAATTCTCCACCCTTTTCCAAGAAAAACCATGGATACTCCACACCCAACTTAACATAAAATTAGAGAATCGGCACAAAAAGAGAAATCATGTCAAACTCAGTATGTCCTGCTCTCACGGGGGCTGACCCATTCCTTCTTTGGAATGTTCTAGGCTTTTATCTTTAGTAAACGTTGGGACTTCACTGTTTGCACCTGCTTGCTCTGCTCATTCCTTCTGAGGACTTGGTACCAGGAGCCATGCTTAGACATTGGGAACCAAGGACCTGGGAACATGGGGACCTGACATCTGAGTCCTCAACACCTAACAATAGCCAGTCACTAACCAATGTTGTTTGTGTGAACAAATGAGAACCCCTGAAACACAACCTTGCATCAGCCACGCCCTGTCCCCCTTCCTTGCCTTTAAAACTCCACTTGTCACTGCGCCGATGGAAGTGTATATTCAGGGCAAGGTGAATCCGTGCCCCCCAGCTGTAACCCCGGGAGAGGCCCAAAGGGCACTACTTTATCAAGTTTGTCTCCGCTTTCCCTTTTAGATCAACAAAGGTGAATAGGCTACAAGAGAAAAAAAGAGTAAGGAGAATCCTAGCACAACGCGTCTTAAAGCCAGGCAAGAAATGATTAGCTCTTGTGTAACATCTTTCATTCTAGTATTTTCCTTAACACAAATGGAAAATTGAGTTGGTTGCTCCTGTTTACTGTTTTTTGAAAATTCTTACCCACTGGCCCTGCTTAGAAAATAGATTCCCATCGAAATTATGCAAGCGCGATAGTTATGGAAAACTGCAGACCCTTACACCACCCCTCCCGGGACATTTCCCTTACCTCTTCTTTTAACTAAGTCCTATTCTCTCAAATCGCTGTTTACTTTCCAAATGAGTACGTCCACAGCTTCAAATCACTCAAGCAATCCCTCCCTGCTAAGGGACTCCAGGCATTACTTTCTGACCGCAGACAGAGCGTTTATTACAAGTATGGCGTCCGAGCCCAGAGGACCTGAGACTCTGGGCAAGTTTCTTCCATGTTTGGAACTTGGAATTTATCATTTGAAAAATGGCGTTTGCTGCAGATGTATTTTCTAAGATCCCAGTAACGTTTCCAGCGTATGGTAATGATTTAAACATAGCCGAGATTCTTAGAAAGCTTGGCGGTAGGGAAGCAACGTGGCAAGCTCCGCACAACCATTTTCAAGCCCGCATTGTACGCACTTAGGGAAGTCTACTTATGCTCCATTCTACTACCCAACTGAGCAGAGTCTGAACTACATTATTTTGCACTTAGAAAAGTGGAATCACGGCCCTGGTCAGAGCAGAGAGGACAAACAGAAAAAGAGAGACAGAGACGCGAGTCTGCTTTGCTGTATTTGCTAACACCGCTGAACATCCCGCAGAAAAGCCGGTTTTCCTTTTCTTTTAAAATTTCAAATCTCCTGGAACCAAAGGCTGGACCTCAACCTTCGGGTCTGCAGTTGAACTTCCCAGGAGTCCCGAGCGCTGAGACGTCGCCCCCGCGCGGCGACCGGCGGAAGGGAGGAGGCGGCGCCGCCCGGGCCGTCCCAGGTGCTCAGGGACACCGCGGAGTCACCTCGGCCCCTGAGCGCCGGCCCGACCACGCCCTGCATCACGTGACCGGGCGGCGCAGCCAATCGGCGCGGCCCTCCGGGTGTTCGAATCGGCCGCGGGGCCGACGGTTGTGTCTGGACTGGTCGCCGCCATGGCCGCCGCTGGGCGCTGACGGACCCATGGAGGGTCGGGGCGGGCCTCCCGGGCCTTACCGGGCCACCAAGCTGGTAAGACGGGGCGGATCGACGAGCCCGGCGCCGGCCACCCGTTGTGCGTGAGACGGGTCGCGGTCGTACCCAGGGTGGTGATGGGTCCCGAACCCCGAGAAGGAGGACGAGGTCCGAGCGCTGGAGGGCCAGGCGGGCACTGGCCCGAATGGGACGGTCTGGCTCGTTGGTCGGTGCGATTCGAGGCAGGACGTGGCCGCAGAGCACCTCTAGGGCGCCCGCGACCGCTGCTGGGGCCGCGGGGAGGGTCCCCGGGCTCTGGGGACCTTCGGTCCCGCACGACCCGGAGCCACCGGGCGGGTTTCCACGGCTCAGGGCCAGTCGGTGCCGGCTGCTGTCTGCCTGCCCGAGTGCTGCGATCCGTGGGGTAACGAGCGAGTCGTCCTCTGGGAAGTCCCCTCAGGTGACCAGGCACGGGGAGCTCACTCCACCGGGGTGGACACGGAGGCTCACAGCAGTCAGCTGACCTCGGAAGTCGGGAAGCCTCAACCGCAGGGCTGGAAGAATCAATTCCAGATGCTCAGGAAGTTAAAGTCGACCCTTTATAAAGGATAGAATTCTATCGATATAAAGGGTAGAATTCAAAACAGGAAGGAATTTTCATCAGGACGCCCTTTTCATAAAATTAGATGGAAATAGTACAAGCACCCAAAAAAGAAAACTTAATACTTACTGGTACTTTGCATGCATTAAATTGTTACATCATTTAAAAAGCCCTTTAGGTAGGTACCCAGTAGCCTCATACCAGGACCCACTCTTAAAACTACTGTTACACCTGATCGCGTCTGGGGAAAGTTATTTTGTTTTTTTTTGTTTTTTTTTTGAGACAGAGCCTCAAGCTGTCCCCCTGGGTAGAGTGCCGTGGCATTACAGCTCACAGCAACCTCCAACTCCTGGGCTCAAGCGAGTCTCCTGCCTCCGCCTCCCAAGTAGCTGGGACCACAGGCGCCCGCCACAACGCCCGGCTATTTTTTGGTTGCAGCCGTCATTGTTGTTTGGCGGGCCCGGGCTGGGGATTCGAACCCGCCACCTTAGGTGTACGTGGCTGGCGCCCTAGCCGGTTGAGCTATAGGCGCCGAGCCGGGAAAGTTATTTTGTAATCTCATTTAGTGCAGAGACCTCGGGACAGTAAGTAATGGGCTGCTCAACGTTAAGTTTTTTCAATAAATAAATGTGTGAAATGGGGAAGTGTGGGGAGAAAAGAATATAGTCATATTTTCAGCCTGTGTTTTGATACCAGGACCACATAGCTAAGGTAATTGGTAACCTAGTTAGTAGTGGCATAACTGGGGTTACAAATTAGATTTCTTGATTTCTAATGTAGTATTTTTCAACTAAAAAGCATGATGTTAATTCTGTACCACCACCACCTTCATACCCACTGTGAGAGCTGTCACAGACCTAAAGGTTTGGCTGTTTTGAGGACACTTTAGAAAATATCAGTAGCTTTTTAAAATGTAGGTATGTCACAGGGTCATTAAAAATACAGAATGGAAGACCAGCCACAGTGGTTCATGTCTGTAACCCCAGCCCTCTGGGAGGCCCAGGCCAGCAGGTCGCCTGAGCTCATGAGTTCTAGATCACCTGAGCAAGAGCTAGACCCCCTCTCTAAAAAAATAGCCAGCTGTTGTGGCTGGTGCCTGTAGGTGCTTGTAGGCCCAGGTACTCGGGAGGCTGAGGCAAGAGGATCATTTGAGCCCAGGAGTTTGAGGTTGCTGCAACAAAGAGTCTGTCTCAAAAAAAAAACACGCAGTGTATTACTGCTTACTTCATTTACCCTATCTGTTCTTTGTTCACTGTAGGGTTCTTTACAAAAGAGATAACTGCAGCATTAATAAATATAGAAGCTACTTTGACATTCGAGGTCTTTTACCTGTAAAACTACTGCCTGCCTTAAGTTTTGTTTGAGCAGCACAGTGGTGAAGAGAAGAGCTCCAGAGCTGGTCAAGCTGGCTGGAACGCCTCGGCTTGTTGCTGAGCTGCATTACCTTGCTCCAATTACCAAGCTGCACATCAGTCTCCTGAAAAATGAGCTATCAGCAGCTCTTCATAGGACTGTGAGGATTAAAGTGAAATAATGAATATAAAGCCCAGTGCTACCATCACTTGTTACTATCAGCTGGGATTTGAAAGGCAGGAAGAAGTGAGTTCTCTATGGAGAAGCATTACAGCTCTTTTTCCTTATTCCCAGTTTTCTAAATAAGCTGATCAGCCAATGAAGTGATTTTAGGAAAAAAAATATTACATGTTGCTACAGCACTAGAATTAGTAAAAGGAATCAATGTGAGATATAAAATTTTATGTAACACAAATAAGGTGAATTTTTATGATGTAATCAGATGTGAATTAAAGAATTTTCTTGGCCTAATGTATTTTATTACTTTTTCAAAAGTCAAAAAAATAATGTTGCCCTGGCTAGTATTGAACTCCTGGACCCCAGTGATCCTCCCACTTAAGCCTCCCAAAGTGCTGGGATTCTAGGCCTGAGCCACCAAGTGAAGCTGCCTAGTGTTTTTTACGTCAGCTAGAGATTTTATTTTTATTTAATGTTTTAAAAATATGTTCCTTCTTTTTATAGTGGAATGAAATCACCACATCTTTCCGAGCAAGAATGCCTCTAAGAAAACACAGACAACACTTTAAAAAATATGGCAATTGTTTCACAGCGGGAGAAGCCGTGGATTGGCTTTATGACCTATTAAGAAATAACAGCAATTTTGGTCCCGAAGTTACAAGGCAACAGACTGTCCAACTATTGAGAAAATTTCTTAAGAATCATGTGATTGAAGATATCAAAGGCAGATGGGGATCAGAAAATCTTGATGACAACAGTCAGCTATTCAGGTGCGGAATGGATCTGTAAATACAAAAACTGAGTACAGTGAAGTTTTCTCTCTAATTGTACTTTCATTGATATGGCAGCTTCTTTAAGAGAAGTAATAGTAATAATTTTTTTAGCCCAATTAAAACCATTTAGAAAAATTGTAAGGTGAAAGTTAATTGCGGTAAAATTCAACCTTTTTAAATGTTAGCATATGTGAGGGCTGTCCAGAAAGTATCCAACCACATACTATGAAAAATGTGGACATACATGGCCGGTTACATTCCTGACAGCCCTTATACGGTAAACTAGGGGGTCGGGAGGGAACCAGTGGGACATTACCACTTCTGCATATTCTGAAAGCCTTATAACATTTCAAGGACATCATTACTGACTTAGTTTCATAGATTCTAAAATTACAAGCCAAGTTGATGGGTCCTTGCCTTCAAATGACATAATTTACTATAACATAAGAAAACGTGATAATAGCCAACTTTATGTAATAGACAACAGAAGAAATATACATTAAAGAAAATATTTATTAAGCAGTTAAATACACCAGAAACTCTGCTTTATAATTTACAAGTTATCTTACTTAATCCCAAGTAGGGTAGATGTTAGTCACTGTTACAGATGAGGAAACCAAAACCCTGCTTCAACAAATCTTGTCATCTGACTGAAACATCCTTCCACCTTGAATCACTTACACATTTGTCAGACTAGTAAGTTTGCACATTTCTTCTAATCTCAGCTGTGTAATTTCCTCTTTGGAACCTTTCTGAATCTCTTAGGCCAGCATAAAATACCTAGAAATAAATTTTACCAAAAATGTATAAGACCTTATTGGAGAAAATTAATAATTGTACTGAAGAGAAAAAATGGAGCAGATACCCCTGTTGATGAAAGAAAAGTTTAGTATCATATAGATAAGTCAGTTCTTCCCAAGTCAGTATGTAAATTCAGTGCATTTTTATTCAAAATCCTAATATAGTTTTTGGTAGTATTTGACAAGCAGATTCTAAAACTGTTTTGGTAAAGGTCTAAGGAAATTTTGAAAAACAAGGAAAAGAGAAATGCTTTACCTTATATCCGGACTTAAGTCAACCCAGTACAGGTAGGTACTAGGAAAACAAACCCACAGGTGTAGACTGTGGGGATTTGGTATAAATCATACAGGGGTTAAATACCTAGGTATGAAAAATAAAACTCTTACAAGAGAATAGAAGAAAATATTTGTCTGACAGTGAAATAAAAAAGAACTTCTGAGGTCACGAAAAACTTACGTGTAAACTGAATGTGTAATAGATAAAAGATACCACAAAGTGAAAAAATACCAAACCACATACTGTTTGTATATATTTAGTAAAAGTACTAAAGAAATACAGTAAGTAAACATTTATAGTTTTAATACTATAGATTAATAGTTTCAGGAAAAAGACAAAAATGAACTAGCAAAGAATTTTTTTTTTTTTTTTAAAGAGAAGTCTGACAAAACATCGGCAGTTGCATTGGTTGTTAGTTAACAAACACGGATACTGGTTTGTGTTATACTTCCTGCACTTTTTATATCCTTAAAATATTTTATATTAAAATGAAAGGAGAAAAAGCATTACAAAAAAGAGCAACAGAAACCAAGTTCTGGAAATAAGGACAAACACAGTCAAACAAAAGAGAGAGAAGGTTTATGAATCTGATAACTCATCAAAGGAATTTAGGAGAGTTGGCGTTCCAGAGCCATTTGTGTTTACAAATTACCTCTTCCACAGAAATGATGACCCTCGTCAAATAAAGGTGAAATGTGCACAATATTCTAAAGAAAGCAAGAAACTATTACAATAATTTTAAAAGGTTTAATGGGAAATTTTATATAAAATATTTCTTGGTAAAGTCAATAAATGAGATTCTCTTTGTAATTTTTAAGACAGCCTCTGAATGTTTGTTTCTGATCTCACGTTTTTTAATTGCTTACTATTTTTAACCCAGGTTTCCTACGACCTCTCCACTTAAAGCTCTCCCACGAAGGCATCCAGAATTAAGAAAAAGCAGCATAGATAACTTTCCTAAAGACAAAGATAGTATTTTTAAATTACGAAACTTATCTCGTAGAACTCCTAAAAAGCATGGATTACATTTCTCTCAGGTAAAGCATCTTGTTACTAGTCACTGGTTTAAGTCTACTTAATAACAGAATCATTAAAAGTGAATGATATGTTAATATTTAAAGCCAGTACTAAAATCTCCTCATCCACATTACATTCTAAAAATGGACGTATAAAGTTGTTGAGAACCCAGAGAAACAATGACAAAAATGGTAGTAAGACATACTGGAAAATGGTGTTTATATAATTCCAGTGTGTTTTCTTTTAAATTGATTTGAGAGTGGTGGGGATGGCTGCAAAGCCAAAACCTTCATTACCATTTGTTACATTTATTTCTTCAGGAAACATGAGCCTTCTAGCTGATGGATTATATTAATAGACAGGACTGATGGTGGCAGAATTAGAAATGGATTCTGTTCATTATTTACTTAGTTTGAGTATAATAGATTTAACTAAAATAATTATTTTTCTTTTTTTTTAGGAAAATATAGAGAAAATAAAGCATGAAATAATTAATGAAGATCAAGAAAATTTAGTCGATAATAGAGAAATAAGCCAGGAAGACATTAAAGAAGTTTGGCGATACGTGATTCTGACCCAGTAAGATAAACAGGCTTCTGTGAAGCTCATCAAGGGTTTGATTATTACTTTGACACTTTGATCGAAATATGCAAATGAATAAGGAGAGTAATTCTCCAAGCTTAGAATCTCACCTGTGTGTGTGTGTTTCTCAGTATGTGCTCTTGCTGTAACTAGCACAGTGGAGATGGGATGGAATGTTTCATTAAGATTTGCTTTTTCTCCGAGTCAAAGTTATGGCCACAGTTTGGGGTACATATTGGAATCCTTCAAAGGGTATTGAGATAAATATATTTGAAAGTGGTTTAGTTAAAAGAAAAATAAAATACTCTCATGGCTTTATCTGTTAGCTAGTCATATTCATATGTATAATCTATCCTACTTATTTTATGAAAAAAAATTATATTCTTTCATTTAGCCTGCAGACCATTTTAGGTGTGCCATCTCTAGAAGAATTCATAAATCCAAGACAAATAATTCCTCAGTACGTCATGTACAATGTGGCCAACACAAGCAGACGTGGAGTGGTTCTACTGCAAGACAAAGCAGGTTGGTGCTATGGGAAACTTTTTCAAACTTACTAACAAAGGTTACAGTTATAAGGAGTGCAGAGACCCAAATATAGAAAGTAAAATACTTTAATTGAGGAAGCATCAGAGGAGCTATTGTTTTATCATCATAGGTACTTTAGTAATGAGACTGAAATAAATTTTAGGTGAATGTTATTCATGCTTTAGAAATATTTTAGCTACTCAGGTAGACTCATACATTATTTTAACAAAACGACAGGGTTAAACATTGAGAAGCCATGTAAGTATAATAAAAACTATAGCAACCACATTTTTAGTGTGGAACAGAGTCATAGTCAACATCTCTATAACTTTGTCAGACTTTTTATGTTTTAAAATATTGACTTGAATCTATGTCTTGTTAAACATATAATAGTTTTTAATGCTAGTAATGTACATAGGTGTAAATACATCCATGTATGTGTGTATATATATCAGTATACATAAATGTGAAGTTTCAAAACATACTATGATAAAAATTGTGATTTACTAAATGATATTAATTTTTTGTGTGTGTAGATGACCTTCCTCACTGGGTATTATCTGCCATGAAGTGCCTAGCAAACTGTAAGTGAAATAAGATACATATTTCATATAATACTATTTAACAAGAACGAAGGAAATTTTTAAAATAATGTATAAAAGTCTTGATAAAGTTAAAGTGATATTATTTCTCTTGATGTTTAAATGAAAGTCTAGTAGAATTTATTACATTATGGAGCCCTTAATTTTTTCTATATGGAAGGAGATTTTTTAATTTAAGCCCATCACTTATGGCTCAATTCAGATAAATCATAAAATCATATGCTAGTCTGAGGATCTCAAAGGCTTTTTAGGTCCAAGGTTCACATGGCAGCTTATAAATGGTTTTCAGCCAGAAATGAAGTGCCTCAGAAAGCCCACTTCTGTCGGCTTGCCATTGTATGTACACAGTTGCAACATGTAAAGATCAGTGTTCATTAATCAGCAATTTTTTTAGCATTTTATTTATTAGGTTGTTCCTAGTGATCAGTGATAACTGATTTTTATAACTTAAGCTCAAAACGTAATTGCTTTCAAACATAATTTGTAAAATCTACAAAGGTATAGTCTTCTAGATAGTAAATTATACTTTAATAATTTTAGTTACAAATGCAGCTTTCTGGTTCTTATTGATATTTTATGAAATACTATTGGGCTTTATAAATGCTCAGGATACGTTCATATTCCTTTGTTGTCCATTGGTTGTCAATATGATCAATAACAGAATAAATAGTGAGAAAATAAATAATGTAAATTTACAGGCGTGTTTCATTTATCAGTGAAGAAGGTCTTGGTCACAAGCTGTGTACTTGTGAGTTTCTCTTCCTGCCTTTCCTACTAACCGCTTGCTCTTTCTTTCCTCGGCTCCTGCAACTCAGGTGAGCAGCGTACGGGGTCCCTCTGGCCTCCTGGCCGTAGGGGTTTGTGTCTTCCCAGTTCATGTTACACCCAAATGATACCAAATATATAACTTACTGGATTCGCAACACTGTATTTAGCCAGAGGCAGTCCTAAGACTCTGACTTTACCCTTATTCATTCCCTCAGAGCAGTCAGTCTACTGAACAAGGTGTTCCAATGGAGAAAGCCAAGGCGTAAAGAGTTTCCTATTAATGCAAAGAAGTGATAGCTCAAGCCTAGATTCTCTAACTATAAATTATATGTTTTTAATACCAGAAAACATAATTTGTTTGTCTTAGAAAACTGTCTAGTGATTATCAAATCTACTCCACATACTAAGAATATTTCTTATATCCTTAGAAAACTATTTTGCTCTACATAAAACTCAGATCAGCCCAAAGCTATCGAGTGTGTATGAGAATAACTCATGGCAACCTCCAACCCCTGGGTTCAAGCAAACTTCCTGCTTCAGCCTTCTGGGTAGCTGGGACTTAGGCACCTGCCACAAACCCTGGCTCACTTGTTCCATTTTTGGTGGAGGTGGGTCTCACTCTTGCTTAGGCTGGTTTCAAACTCTTGAGCTCAAGGGTCCTCCTGCCTTAGCCTCCCGGAGTGGAGCATCACAGGCATGAGCCCCTGCCCCTGACCTGAATTATTTTCTGGATCCCTTTTTCAGTGTAGACCATACAAGTTTGGTCAGACAGGGAAGTAAGAAATATTTAGGTTGGGAAAAGAGAGACTTTAACTTGTAAGATACTATAGTGACTAAAACCTGAGTGCATATCCAGTCACTCGGGAGACTCTTCAGAGACTGATTCAGTGGTTCAGCAGGTCAGGAATCTTTTTTCACCATGACCCGTTAGAGAAGCGGTTCTCGACCTGTGGGTTGCAACCCTCAGGAATTGTATTAAATGGCTGTGGCATTAGGAAGGTTGAGAACCCCTGTCTTTGAGTGAAGGTTTGAAGCCACTCAGTGAGTGACGCAGATGCAGACATTGCTGAGTCGTGACTTTCTGGCTCCACCTTCATAGATTCTGGTCTGTATAGAAGAAGTTGCACTTTAATAGAACATTGGATGATTCTGATGTGTGTAGTCCATGGATCACATTTTAAATATTGCTGGACCTAAATGTCCTGGCCTTGCTCTCACTTCACACTGCTCTGAGTTCTCATTGTAACTTTGCTACCGAAGGCTTCTTTCATCTTAGGCAAATTGTTCTGAGCCTTAATCTGCTTATCTATAAAATGAGATCAGATCTTAGTTCTGTGAAAAATAGTAATGAATGATTATTTCAGTAGTTGTGTTAAGCTTAAGAAACAACAATATAAAGATATCATTTAAATTCATTGAGGGAATGCTTCATGTCAGGCAAAATTTATTTATGAAAATGTAAATTTACAAAAGACAATTTGGAGGAATTATTCGCATTATCCAAATACTCTTTGCTTCACAAAATGAATTACAATAAAATCTCATTAAATAGACTTCCCTAATGCTTTTAAAATATATTTAAAATTTTGCTTCATGTACAGTTTTTCAGATGTATAATTATTAAATTAAAAGCTGCTAATTGACCATTTACTGTGGTTTCTAGTGAAAAGATTATAGGAAGAAATGAGATGTACACACCCTTTAAATTTTTGAATTGTGGCAGAATTTGTTCTTAAATAATAGAGGTTTTTCATGAAATGCAGGTTTAGTTATATTTAACAATCGTATTTAAATTAAAGTATATTTTGTGTCTTTCTTCTGCCTTCTACCACTTAGGGCCAAGAAGTAATGATGTGAATAATCCCACTTATGTCGGCTTTGAACGGGATGTATTTAGAACAATTGCAGATTATTTTCTAGATCTTCCTGAACCTCTTCTTACCTTTGAATATTATGAACTATTTGTGAACATTTTGGGTATGTATGGATTTTACTTACTTAAATTTATTTTATTAAAGTTTTCAGGTTTTTCATAATTAAAGGTGGCAGGCTTTAAATTATTCAGCAGTACTGTGACTGCTGCTGTGTCATCGCCCTGTCTTCAGATGTGTTCCAGGGCCAGTTCTCCCTGACCCTGACTGCATGTCCCACAACCCACCCAGCTCTACACTGACCCCGCAGGGTGAGGCTGGTTCCCCAGCTCTACACTGACCCCCCCCAGCTCTACACTGACCCCGCAGGGTGAGGCTGGTTCCCCAGGGCCGCCGGCAGGTCAGTGGCCGGATGCACATGAGCTCCCAGACTACTCACACTTTTGCTCGGCCAAGTACCAAGTTGAGGCTCTTCATCCTCCCTCAAGTTCAATAATTCACTATGGTGACTCACAGAACTCAGAGAAGGTCTTTCCTGATGATTATCAGTTTATTATAAGGATAGAATGGAAGAATAGCCAGATGGAAGAGATGCACAGGGCAGGGTGGGACTGGGGATGCCCAGAGTCTCCCACCAGCATGTCCTGTGGTCACCAACCCTGTGTTCCAAGCTGCCTGTTTCAGAGTTTGATTTTAGGCAGGATTGATTAAATCACTGGCAGTGTTCCCTGAGCTCAATGTCCATCCCCTCCTCCTCTCAGGAGGTTGTAGGTGGTGATGAAAGTTCCAACTCTTTAAACCTGGCCAGCTCTGAGTCACTTTAACATAGATTCAGGTATGCTCCAATAGGCATGTTATGAATAACAAAAGACTTTCATCATTTAAGGAATTCTAAGAGTTTAGGACCTTCGTAACAGGAACCAAGCACAAAGACCAAATATATAGATTTTATTGCACCACAGGTGTCTTATAATTAAGAGGTTTAAGGTACTTGTGGACTAAGAATAGTTACCTCAAAATGTGTTCTGGCTTAATCTATTTAACTAGGCTGTTAAAATAATTGGTTTTAAGTCATTCCTATCACAGAAGGGAAACCACTAATCATCCCTGCATGCTTGTACCCAAGTGCTGCATGTGTCCTGTGTGGCTTCTGAATTCAGCAACTGCTGTTCGTTTATACTAACAATAGACACCACAGCGATGCTTCACTTTTTAACTTTACTATTGTTACTTTGTTTTTGTCCATGATGTACAGTTGCATCTTAATTTTTGTTTCATTTCCTGGTAGTTGTTTGTGGCTACATCACAGTTTCAGATAGACCCAGTGGGACACATAAAATCCAAGACCATCCACAATCTTCAGAAACCCTTCACATAAACAGTTTGAATTCCTTCAAATCAACTGAGTGTCTCCTTCTCAGTCTGCTTCGTAAAGACAAAACCAAAGAAGAATCAGATTCCACTGAGAGACTACAGACAAGCGGTCAAGGATTTCAAGAAAGCTGTGCTGGAAACATGCAGCTAGTTAATTTAAAAAGCAGAAGAGTGAGCGCTAATGACATCGTGGGCGGAAGTTGTCAGAATTTAATGGGCTTCCATAGCGGGCGTGCTCTGTCCTCTAGCATCAAGCCGAGGTGCTGTTCTTTGGAAGGAATCGTGGATGTGCCAGGAAGTTCAAGGAAAGAGACATCCAGTGTCTTTCATCAATCTGTTCTGAACATAGAAGGGCAAAATTATAAACATTTTTTAGAATCTAAGCCCAAACAAGAATTCCAATCCAGTCTCCATTCAGAGGAGAGTATTCAGAAGCCACTCAGTGCTGGCTTTAAGAGAAGCTCTGCCCTGACTGTTCAAGACCAAGAGGAGTTACTGACTAGGAAATGCAAGTCAAAACAGCTCTGTAGGTCCCAGAGTTTGCTTTTGAGAAGCAGTTCAAGAAGGAATAGTTATATCAATACGCCAGTGGCTGAAATTATCATGAAACCAAATCTGGGACAAGGCAGCACACGTGTGCAAACAGCTACGGAAAGTGAACTCGGAGAGTCTAGCATCACAGTCACTAAGAGACTCTGCAGAAGCACAATAGAACTCACAGAGAACCCTTCCCCTGCAGCTGCTTCTGTGTTGACTGGCACACAAAGTAAGGCTGTTGCTTTCAATGCATGCAGTGTTAACTTTCACTGTCTACTAACTCTGTTTTGCTTACCTGGCTTTTCTCCTCCAAAGCTGCCTAATTTTTTTCTTTCTAGAGGAATTATTGCACAAGACTTTTGTCATGGCATAACTAAGACTTGTGCTATTTTCCTTTCCTTCAATTTCACTTATTCTGAGTCATTTTGCTTATAATAAGTGAAGGATTTTACTTAGAAACTGGTTGTAAAGAAAATAATCAGACTCTTACTGTGCTTTTGAGAAATTTAGAAATTTCTAGAAATAGTTAAATGAAATACTAAGATATTCTTTCATTCCTTTAAGTAACTGTATATACTGGCTGTGTGAAAGCAGCTGGTATCACTGATGCCTGGGGGGGTGGGGATCTTTGCCTTCTAGGTTTGCTGAAACCTCACTTAGAAAGGGTCGCCATCGACGCCCTGCAGCTGTGCTGTTTGTTACTCCCCCCACCAAACCGTAGAAAGCTTCAGCTTTTAATGCGTATGACTTCCCGCATGAGTCAAAATGTGGATATGCCTAAACTCCATGACACAATGGGTACAAGGTCACTGGTAAGTTGATTTCTTATTAAGAGATCAAGTCATGGTTCATAAACCAAAAAGAAAACTAACCCATGTACAGTACTACCCAGCTGGTGCCCTGGTCTCGAGTCCTGGATTCTTGGGTTAGGAAGGCTCCTGACCTCTGACCTTTCCTACCAGCACTAACCCTTTGTGCAGTGTGTTAGGGTTCCATGGAAGACTTTGCCCCCTTACTCATCCTCTGGCACTTCAGTAATTGGCCAGATAATCAGACTGTATCATGTTGCTTTGTGCCAATTCCGATGGAGAAGGAAAAGGAGATGTAGGTATAGTTGACAACTTAAGGACACTGTGACTCAGAAGCAGAGAACTAATGGGACATACCACAGTCAACTAGAATGTTTCCGAGAGCAGGGTGGTGGGAAGTGGGTCGGTGTGGGCAGTTTTGGGAGGCCCTGCTGCCAAGCAGCCTCAGCCTTGACTGACAAGAGGTTCTGTGACAAGGGACCGGGAGCTGCCTCATTCTTCCACTGATTATCAAGGACAGGATGAGAGACCAACATAAAGAAGGAGAATTAGTCTTCAGTTGTTATGGTGCTGTTAAAAAGCAGGAAATTTATAGGGGAAGATGTTCAGAGAGAAGAGTGGGAAAGTACTAATTTCCATCTTATACTTTCTGGATTTGAAGTAATAGGCATCCAAGTGAAACTGATCCAACCAAATGGGGGCAATGTGAGCCTGGTGACGAAAGGTCAGGTCAAAGGCTCCTCTGTTGAGTCATCTCCATGGACATGACAGTTAAAAGCTCTGAGCACATGAGCTCTACAAGGCTTAGGGTGTGGGAAAACAGCAGAAAGCTGAGGACTGATGAGCCTTAGAAGGAGACAGGAAAACCTGTCTGATATGTAAGAATAAAACTAAAAATAGTTCAGTTCTACAGGTATTTTAATCATCTACTATGTATGAAATACCTAAAATAGATTTCTGATATTCTAATTATTTTAGAATGAGGAGTGAGTGTTACAGTTAGTGGCTCATATGGATATGAACCAGAGTAATGAGTTTTGAAACAAAATTTATCCCAGGATTTGAAGACTCATTGTGATGGGATTTAAAAATCTGTGTATTAAATTGCTGTTTAAAGACTAATAGAATAAGCATTAAAAACTGTTTTCCTGTTTCAAAAGGTAATGGTGTCAACTTTGCAACCACATTTGAATATAGGCATTCTGTATGTTATACGGGTCTCCAGAAGAACCTCCATGGGTGACCCCTCCCTAAGGTGACCAGACAGCAGCATGCCTGTGCATGTACAGCGGGCCCATGCTGACCGCCTCTGTATGTGACCAGTTTGTTACAGTCCCTTGGGTGGTCAACTTATGGAGGTTCTCCTGGTTTGCATTTTTGTGGGATTCATATAATGCAGTAAGTTATTGTTCTCTAATAATCTTTAAGCTTAAGTATCTATATTGTGTTAATAGAACCTGTGGTGTTTACTGATGGAATTGTGGCAAAATTAAAGAAAAACCTAAGCCTTTTTAAAACCTTTAGAAGCATATTAAGGACATACTTTATAAAGGACTTAAGCATAATAGAATCCTTACCTTTCTAACAGTATAAATTATTGTCCTCATTTTTAAGCTGAAGTCTGCTTATCATTTTATCTCAATACTTCACGTAATGCTGCCTGAAAATTGCTGATATTCTAAAATACACACATAAGAAAGCTTGGGTTTTTATATTCGTATCTTTTACTGCGTCTCTAGATGATACACACTTTTTCTCGGTGTGTGCTGTGCTGTGCTGAAGAAGTGGATCTTGATGAGCTGCTTGCTGCAAGATTAGTCTCTTTCTTAATGGATCATCATCAGGAAATTCTTCAAGTGCCCTCTTACTTACAGACTGCTGTGGAGAAACATCTTGACTACTTAAAAAAGGGACATGTAAGTGTTGTGAGTCTTAAAGTTCTCTGCAAGTCAGACGCAAGTGGAAAACTCTCCATCTAGGAGCCTCATCAGCTCGTGTAAACACCCTGTGAAGGTCGGGGCTGTAGACAGATCATGGTCTTAAATAGCTGGAGGACGCCTCATCTACCCTTTCATCACCTGTTTCCCTTTTGGTCCTGTGTTTGACAATGGCTCCTTCCTCCAATAAGGAATCACAGCCTTCCATTTGTAATTCAAGGCAAAGAGCTCTCTCTCCACTTCTGATTTGGAAAGTTTTAGGTACAGACCCTTGACTGGCCCAATCAAGGTTGAATGGATATCCTTTGGGAAGTGGAGAGTGAGTAGAGTGGAGGGAGGGTCCTTCTCTGCCTCTGCAGAGATTAGAGGAGAAGCTGTTCTTGGAAAAAGGTGAGAGTAGAGGGGTAAGTGGGAAGAAAGCATGAGAGCGGAGGAGGGCTGCTGTGGCCGAAGGAGAGTGCCACCTCCAGCCCTGCTGCTGTGTTGGGCGTCTCCCGTACATGCCCTTCTGCCATCGCCCTGGGTGGCCAGAATCTAGACCATCCCCTACAGTTTCTTTCTTTTATCAGCAGGTGTTATTGGCTCTGCCCGTGCTGCTGGGCCTCAACTCCAGTACGTGAGAAGGAAAAGTGCTCAGCTCAGTGAGTGTCCTGGTCATCTGCTAGATGCAGAGGGGACACAGATTTCACAAGACTAGTATTTTAGGATGAATTAAAATTAAAATGTTACTTAGTTTGCTGTTGTGTAGTTAGAAGAATAAAATAAGTTGCTGAAGGTTCCAGAGCTGGTGAGTAACTGGCATGGGCCAGGACTTAGATCCCACTGGTCTATTACTCTCCTGCATCATCCATAGATCCAGAGCTGGTGAGTAA